AGGCTGGGCTTGAACTTACTATGTAGCTCTGGCTGGCCTCAAACTCATCCTCCTGCCTCTGCCTCCCAAGTGCTGGGATTACAGGTGTGCGCCATCACCCAGCACGCCTGGCTTTCAGTGGAGTTTAGACATCAGAACTTGCTGCTGACCCACTCCCCATCTCCCGGCTCTGCATCCTCTGGTTTAGTCCACACTTAATGGGTTTCCCCTTAAGGTGATAAAATGGCTTCAGCAGCTCCACCCTCACAACTGTGTCTTTTCTATTAGCCATTAAAGAAACCCGAGTCACTGTGTTTGGAATGGTGTAGGTTATGCCCATTTCTGACCAGTCACTGAAGCTGGGAGATGCAATATTTGGCTTAGGCAAAGTTTGGCTTAGGTAAAGGAGTGTGGAAGAAAGGTGGGTTACTCCAACAGGAAAATTGGGGTGCTAGTTCCATAGGAACAGAGAGTAGGTGCTGGGCAGCTCAGATCTCTGATGACATGTGAAGTGTCTCAGCCACACCCCACTACTTCCTGGCTCTTTCTCTTTGGCAGGCAGGTTGGATATTCGCCTCCCCTACTCTGAAGTCTTTAGACTTCGTAGGGTGACAGAATCCAGGCCACATTCTAGATGGCCACCTGGCTTCCGAGTGTAGTCCCAGGCCTGCCACTCGCCTCTCTTCCTCATCCTTAGAGAAGAAAGTAGTAGTTACCAGGAACAGGGGGTGGGGGCGAGAGTACTTTAGAGTTAGTTAGTGGAGTTATTTGTACAATATTGTGAACATTCTAAAAAACCACCAAAGCAAATACTTTAAATTGGCAAAGTTTAAACTAGGCATGGTGGCCCATAGCTGTAATCCCAGCACTGTGGGAGGCTGAGGCAGGGAGACCAAGCCCATCCTGAGTAATTCAGATTTAGTGAGACTCTATCTCAAAAAGTGGAAAAAAAAAAAAAAACCCAGGCTGCAGATATAGCTCAGTACAAAGGCCTTGGGTTCAACTCCCAGTACTGGGGGAAAAAATTTTGAGAAGGTGAAGTTTATATTAGATTTCAACAATTTTTAAAATGTTAACACCAGTCAAAGCCTTTTGCAAGGAGTTAGAGGTTCCCAGGCTGGAGGCTGAGAACGCAGGACGGGCCTCAGGTGGCTCAGCCTCGGGCCAGGCCCAGGGTCAGCCAAGAGGAAATGCACACCAAACAAAGAAGAGAGGAATCAGCCCAAATGGCTTCTCCCAGCGCTGGGGAAAGGAAGTGGCAGGGCAGGGCGACCCTAGGTCAAGCGAAAGAAAACACTAAGCTCAGGGCGGCCACAGAAGGCAAGGGAGGATGGAGGGGTCCAAGGAGAGCCGCCTGAGGCCCCAGCCCTGGGGACAGCTCCACCTCCACCAACAGCTTTGGTCCTGACATCCACTGGATTTGTAGACACAGGGCTGTGAGGGGCTTTTGCTCCCAAGAGGGGCTTGACTCCCACAGGGCAGCCACTTGGGGGCTGGGGTGGGGCGCCAGGAAGCCCTGGTAAGAGTGGGATGCGTCTCATCCGCCCAGCCCTTGGGTTCGTGTGTCAGGGCCTTGGGCCTGACCAGACTTGTGGGTGATGCCACCCCAGGGTGCTGTGCAGCAGAAGGGGCCCAGCCAGTCCCCACCCTCCCAGATCTTCATTCTAATACATATACCCTCGCACAGGCCCCAGGATGACAGGCGCTGCAGGAAACTGGTGACACAGCTGAATGGGGTCTAGGGACAGTCAGCTGGCAGTTGGTTGGCACTGACTTCCTGACGAAAACAAAAAGGAACCATCTGGTGGCACAGGCGTGCCTGCCAGGCCTGTCTGCTCTCCCCTCTGGGTGTGCACCCTGCTCTTTCTGTTTGAATCTTAGATGCCTGCTCTGGGCCTCCCGGATCATTTCCAATGGTCACATGACTGTATCCAGGCAACGGCCCTCAGCTCCCATTCATGCCGAGTGACAGCGCAGCGCTCTCTCTCTCTCCATTGCCCCCCCACCCCATCTGCCAAAGTCCAAGCTCACCCAGGGCTCTGGGTCCTCCTGAGTGCGCAAGAGGAGGTGGGCTCTGGATCTTGCAAGGGGGAGCAAGGTGTCACCATTCCCCGCAGGGCATCTGCAGAAGCACCACGACCATTGCCAAGGGCTGTGCTCCCCAGAAAAGCAGTGAGTGGCCTCCCCGATAAGGGCTGCAGGATGTGGGCTCAGACAGTGTTTATCGTGGCCAGGGGCCTGGGGCCTGCAGGCTAATCTTCCCAGGCCCGGGTTTTCCAAAGCAGGGAGGGGCAGGCTTCTAGCTGGCATTTGCCATGGTAGGAAAAGTGCTCCCGAGCTGGGGCCACTGTAGCCAGCTGTGGAGGAGGGCTAGGACCCAAAGATGCCTCCCTGGGAAGCCATGGCTGCTTCCTGTGGAGAGGGAGAGCCACTGCCCAAGTTGGGGCTTGTTCTAATTCCTGCCCTCAAAGGAGGCACCCATAAAACTAACGAAACCAAACAGCAGCTCCTTGTGTTCAGAGAGCTGTCTCACTGTGGCCCGGCCAGGTCTGTGGCCCGATTCTATTTCTCAGACCGCGGAGGTAGGAGGCAAAGGCCAGCACTGTTAGGTTACCTATTTATCTCTGAGTCAAGGCATAGGCACCAGCAGCTCGCTACTCCCTCACACACTTCCCTGGCGCCACTGTGGAGGCTTTCGGGTCTGGGCTCCGGCATTTGGGGTGGAGCAGGCTGCAGTTTCGGGACAGAAACCTACCCCCCCTTACCCAGTGGCAGCCCCTCCCCAGACGCCTGGGCACAGGCCCAGGGAGGTGCTGGCACCCTGCAGGCCCCATTTTCCTCGCAATGCTCTGGGCTACACGAGACCTTAGCAGAGTGGTCGCCCCCAGGGCGTCAGGCTTTGGAATGGCTCAGGAAGGTCGCCTCCCCCAGATGGAGAGGTCAGCCAGGACCACGGCACAGCACGCATGTCAGGCCGTGTGGGGGGCGCCCCGGCCCGCGGCCAGCTGCTTGCTCTGCAGCCCGGCCTGCACTCCACACCCAGCACAGCGGCCGAGGGGCCCCTGGAGGCCTCGGGCTGGGGCTGACTGTTCCGAGGGGCTGGCGGGAACCCAGTGTGGCCGGTGCTCGGCCCTGGATGGACACAGGTCAAGTAGGCAACATTCTTTGGCCACAGGCAGGAAAAAGAAAGCGGGAGAAAGACCAAGCTCAGAAGTTACACTCAGGATTTATTTTCATTTCTCCAAAAGTTCTTTGTGTGTTTGAACCGCGTAGGAAATCACCAAGCCTCCCTGCCTCTTCTGAGCATGCAGCTTGCAAAGCCAGTTCACTTCTGGGCGCTGCGCATAGATCCCGAGGCAGGAGCTTCCTTCCAGAGAGAAGCCTGAGCCCAGCCGGGGCCCCGCCCCGCCCTCACAGCGCGCTCCTCCTCTCGGGGCCCCGGTTTGGGGCAGCAGAGGCCCACAGCTGGGCTCCCCGCGTCTGTGAGGCTGCACACAGGGGACAGGAAAGGCATAAGACTCAGATCCTGACCACCTGGGCAGCAACACATGGACTCCGCCGCTCCTCGCCGTCCCCAGGTGGCCTCTTGAGGTACAGGCGGCCAAAGGTGCCGCCCACCTGTCCTTTGGTGAGGCGCCCGGGGTTCACACAGACACAGCCGAGGACGTCCTGGAAGGAAAGAGATTGGGCCACCTCTTGGGGGTCTGACAATGGAGGAAGCATCAGACGCTTAGACCCCAAAGTAGGTTTTACAAAGGGGAAGCAAAGGGGACGAACACTGTGCAGTCAAGACTCAGTTCCTTCTGAGACAGAGGAAGGAATGCGGGGACCTGGCAGGGTGACAGCGCGCTCTCATACTTGCAGACAAACCCGACCCAGCTGTTTCTTGCTTCCCCCAGCTCTCAAGGCCGGTTTGGAAGAGGATTGGCCTGGGAGGATTCCCTGTGAGGGAATCAGGGTGGCAGAGACCAGGACAAACCAAGGGATTCTCTGAGCACTCTCGGCTGAGCCTGCTAGGAGGTCGCATCAGATGGCTAGGAGGGCCGGCAAGGCACACGCAAACCCTCCCGGGTCACCCTGACACGGCCGGGGCCTGGCAAGAGCCCGACAGCCTTCTCTTTCCACCTGGCCTCTCAAGCTCGGTGGTGGGGCGGGGACAGCGCTTACTCAAGCTGGATTTCACTCACAGCTTTGCTTGCCCAGAAGCAATGAAGCCCTAGTCCTGGGCCTCCGAGGCCACTGTCCCCACCCACAGATGAGTGCTGGGTGACCACGGAGGGAAAACCAAAGACTGGCCCTGGTGTCTCTTGGAGAAAGCTAGTCCAAACTACCTTCACAAAGTACTTTAGCTCCGAGGGGGTTATGAGGACATCTGGGGTGAATGGCAGCTGTGCATAGGCATAGAAGTTCTCATAGTCGATGGACATGTCCTCCTGGGGAGGGTAGAGGGGGTAGTAGCTGGGGAGACGAGAGAAGCAGTCAGCAGCAGTGGACTGAGGGATCCCAGCCCCAGACGGGCTCCCTGCCCCTCCTACTCCCAGACCAGCCTTTGCCTTTCTGTGCTGGCGGGGGGACAGAACACAGGCTTGTCACAGGGTGACGTTCCCTGGTGGAAGGCTCTGACAGCCAAGTCTGTCACAGCTCCACGACTCCCAAGTGCTGTCTTCTCAGCTAGCGGCCCAGGGAGTGAGCTCACCTCCTCTGCATCAGGATGTGCTTGAGAATCCGGCTGAATCTGTCTGAAGTCCCGGAAGAACTGAGGAAGGAGGGACAGCGTGAACTGGACCCAGAGCCCCGTTATTCAGCCTGTGGCTCTTCAGGTCAGGCCTGAGAATTCAGTAAACTAGAGTGAAGCTAAGTGGCCCGGACCACACCGACGGGACAACACCTCTGAGGGAGCTTGGAGACCCACTCACAGGCAGCTGCTTGCCCACGTCAGAGGGAAACAACACGCCAGGCTGAGAGGAGATGGCAGGAGTCCTGGTCATCAAGATCAAGGATGGCCAGGGCCGGCACCATCTTGGGTGAGAGGACTCGGTGCCAGTGTCACCATGGGGTGACAGGCGACTCTGCGTCTCAGGCCTCAGCCTGGCACACACCCAGCTCGGCTGGCCTGGCCCGCTCATTCTCCTTCCCCTCAACGAGGGAGAAGAACCAGCTACTCAGCCCCAGTGCCATGAGTCCGGGTGCCTTTGACTCTCTGGGGGCCACACTGTGTTCTGGAGAAAGAGAGCCCTTTGGGGTAAACCATGCTCCGGTGTCCTGCTCGCTGGCCTGGACAAGCTTCTCACCTGCAGATCTCCTCGGCTCCCATGTGGAACAGCAGGTCCGTGGACGTCAAGCCGAAGATCACCCCGTTTATGGAGAGGCTGCAGGGCTCTGACACCAGCTGTACCCGCTGAAACGAGAAGGGGCGATACACACGTTTACAGAATGGCCGGAAACTTCTTCCCCAAGACAGCAGGCAACCATGGAGGACAAACCCACGTGCAGCAAGACACTCACCTTCGCCTGCTGTGAAAAGGGGTTTAAGAGTCAGGCTATGTGTGTGCCCCGAAAAGCCCTCTCTGCCCTCCCGCTCAGGGCTGCAGCCCAGGCACTATGCCCGCTGCACGCTGGCTGTTTGCTGGGCATGGGGAGCATGGGTACCTTTTTATCCTCTCGTGACAGATCGGGGTAGGTGAAAGGCGGCTGAGGGTACACGGGCTCATGGTGCACATCTCTCAGCGACGGAACAAAGACAAGGTGGGAGCCGGAGCTACATTGTCAAACACAAGCATGAGGGGGAGAAAATAAGCACAGCTGAGCTGGAATGGCAGGCCAGCCGCCAGGGAGGCTTGGAGTCCAACTCTGCGCTGTGGAGATGCTGTCCTGTCACCGGCAGAGAGGCCCTTTACTCTCCCATGCACATCCATCTGTGTCGGCTCAGACTGCCCAGGGCACCCCAGCCCTTGCTGTGGGACACCCCACTACTGGATGCAGGGGAACTAGTGCTTGGTAGAAAAAGGGGAGAAGAAAGTGAGATCTAGAAAGTCTTGACCGACAAGGATTTGACCAAGAATGACAGTCTTGGAGCCAGGTGCAGTTTGCAGACATTCAGTCTCGCTGACACACAGCTCTGCGATGTGAGGCAGGGACCCTTCCGGGGAAAAACCAGGCACTAGTGTTAGACGCTGAGACCAAGATCAAACTGAAACCTCCGGACTAGCCAAGTCCTGGAGTGCGATTACCGAGACCCTTGCAGAGAGAGACAGAGCACAGGCCGGGCAGCTCTCGCTGGACCAGGCCCTCGGTTTCTGCTCTCAGCACTGCTGGGGGTGAGAAAGTGAAAGAAACATTTAACAGCAACAGCAAGCTGACAGCAGATGTTTCCCTGGACCGAAGCAGAAGGAGAATTTCGTGCGAGTGGAGAAGAAAGCTGTGACTCTCAGGCCAACTGTTTATTTTCTCCAGCCACACAAAGGAGGGAGGGGAAAACCCCGTTTCCTTGGTTCCCTAAGTTGTCCTGGGCAGGGGGACCCATTATAAACCAAACAGGCGTGAAGCGTTACTCTGAGCACGTTCAACACCTGCCGACCCTTCTCCCTCACAGCTCCTTTCTCCTCTTGCTCAAAACCCAGGGACTGAGGCGTGGGTGACTGTTACGTCAGCTCATGCCTACCATGGCCCTTCCCGAACAGAACCCCGAGGCCAAAGGGACCTCTCACATGAGTTACTACCCCTCTGACACGGAGAAGTTCACCATAGTCTCCCAAGTCTGGAGTCTGCCAAACAGGCTGGGAGGGGAACTTGAACGGGACAATCCCGACTCCAGATCTCATATGCTTCAAGTTGGTGATGGACACAAAGGTCCAAAGTGCAAGGGATGAAACTGCTGCTTCAGCACAAGCCCTGGAAGGACCAGGGTTAAGGAGGAGGCGCCCCCCTGCTCAGGGTTATGAACCAGCCATGGGGGGAGGGGGAGAAAATTCCAGCTATGCTCAGCATTGCACAACTTCTGCCGTCACAGTGGGAGGGTCTCGCTGTGCTCCTTCCAAAGGCCAGTGCTTGGGCTTTGCTCAGCTACCAGGAAGCTGAGGCTTCCCCTCTGGTTTGGTGTCTGCTGATAAACGCCACTCCTCACCTGGGGACTGGAGTTTATATACTATTTTGGGAAGGGCGGGGCAGCGCCCCTTGCTCCAGGGGCCACACAGCTGGAAGATCAAAGTGCCTGGTAGTGCTGGGTACCGGCCCCGGAGTAACAATGCCTGTCTGTTCTTTGTTTGTACCACTGCCGTCAGCACCACGAGGGCCGAGGAACCGCAACTGGAACCTCACCCTCACTCAGCGTGGAGGCTCCAGCCAGCTCAGTGCCTGCCTGCTCCGAGACTGACCAAAGCAGAGTATGGCCCCGCTCTTGCTTTCGGGGGTGATATGAGGGGCTCTAGGTGCTCAGGCGTGAGGAACTCGATCAGGGCTACAAGTCTGGGAACGCAGCGAAGGCACTTGAGCCCTCCTCATGCCAGGTGGGGCAGGAGGCCGGACAGGACCAGCCGAGGCTGCTGCAGCCCAGCTTGGCTCTTGGTGTGGCTGAGTTGGGGTGCTCTATCCAGGTCCCCTGCCTGCTGTCCTGGTTTAGGGAGGCAGTACCCTGACTAATCTGCCCTGGGATCTGTTCTCACAGTCCAAAGGCGGAAGATCATACATTTTGTTTTAGAAACCACCTTTGTTACAGACTGTTTTTAAAAGGCACCTCAGGAATGTTTGTTTTTTACGAGCTCAGCTACAGACAAGCAGATCCCATGAGGAGATCCGTCACTATACCACTTTCTTTCCGACTCTGGCACAGGAGGAAAAGACACAGGAACTGAGGTATCAGCTTCCAGAATGACTTTCTGCTTCTAGCATTTGACTCTTCCTGGAACTGTGACTTTCCTCTCAAGTTAGAACTGCACAGTCTCACATCACTGCTGTGACCTTTGCAGTCCCTTCCGTCTGGGGAGGACATAAGAGCTGCCCCCTCTCCTTGCCAAGAGCTCCTACCACCCATACGTGAGTGAGCCCAAGCTCATTCCCTGAGTCGCCGCTTCCTTGTTAGGTGGGACTGGCACTGACTCAGAGAAGGAACTTGGGCTCACTCACACGTGGAGAGGTTTTGAGCCACAAAGGGTCTTGTGTCAATCATCAAACACTTCTAGGTCCTGGGAAGATTCTCCTAGGACACTAGTTTATACAGAAGACAGTGAGAAGAGGAAGTAAAGAAGAGGAAGAAAGCCAAGGGAGAGGGAGAGCCCCTGTAGCCTTTGCTTTTAAGATGTTTATCTCTGTTTGACACAGATGCTTCTTCACTCCACATGTGTGTGCTTTGCGTTCAAGGATTCTATGTGATCTCAGAGCTCAAAAGGACAGAAAGGACAGGAACTAGCACTCCTTTCTGAGTTTCCGTCTCTTACGGGGAAGTGCTGGAGGAACCGAGGCAGCCTCAAGTTCTGTCCAGCAGTTGCAATTCTGACCTTCTTGTCCCTTCAATAACTGTTCGCAGACACTGCTTAAAAACATCTTCAAACGGACTCGTCAGCAGACAGCTCTGCAAGAAAGGAAAGGACTCGTTATTGGGGAGGCAGCTGGCGTCCACCCCGGGAACACTCGGTGGGGGACTCTCCACTGCCAGCTGCTGGGCTCAGGGCTGACGGGGACATGCAAAGGGCTGGTCTACGGGTGGGAGCAAGAGCTGGGGGAAGAATTAATCCTCTCAAATGCAAACCGAGAGGCTAAAACGCAGAGTGCTTCCAGGGAAGGCGAAATTCCTGACAGGGCAGGAGACCCTGGCCCTCGGTCAGGAAGATGTCCTGGGAAGGGATATTTGTGCTTTATGCACCAAGGACAGCAAGACGTGAATTATCAGCTTAGGGTAGCAGCCAGCTATGGTAAGATCCTCTCACAGCTCTGTGACTGGGATGCCTGTGTCTGTGCTACTGCGCTTACACTGAAGCCACAAAGGAACCATGTATTTCCATTTCCCTCCCCAGCTTCCAGGAGACCTGACATTAGGGTGAAACTAAACCCTCAAAGTGGAGCTACTCCTTAACCATGTTCTTCCCATTAGCGCAGGCTCGTTTAGGCTCTTTACAGATGAACTCCAAAAGGGAGGGAGAAGGGAGGGCCGCTCCGCGCAGGACTGTCTGCTGCCCTCCCCCGCCCGCCCCGATACTCACCTCCACCTGCTCGTGCTTAGCATCCAGGAAAGGACCAAACTGCACAGGCGCCCAAGGGGGAGAAAAGCCAGCAGAAGAACGAATCAGAATGGCATGCTTCTGCAAACGCCTCCTCCAGCTGTTCTCTGCCCACAGTCCACCTATCCTTCTGAGGCTGCCGGAAGCCTGGGGACAGGCAGCAGACGGGCTAGGGGGTATCCGGCCAATTGCACGGGCAGAAGCTCAGAGCCCTGGATGGAGAGGCTCCCAGTGCCCTGTAACCTGCACCACCATCCCAGGACAATGGGCTTTCTGCTTTTCAGGACTTAGAAGGGCAGGTGAGCACCGTGCTAACAGTGGGACAAGTGCAGAGATTCACTTAGAAGCCAGAATAGTGAGACAGAGGCAAGAACTCTGTAAAATCAATGAGGGGCCACAAAAAACACTGGACTTTTACAATCAGCAAAGGCCTTCAATCATGTACAGCTCTCCACGATGCAGATTAAAAACTAAAAAGAAGTGATGCATGCCTATAAAATCCCAGCACGCGGGAGGCTGAGGCAGGAAGATTGCCATGAATTCGAGGCCAGCCTGGAGCCTGGGCTACATAGTGAGTTCAAGTTCAGCCTGAACTCACTACACAAGGAGTCTTAAAAAAAAAAGCCTGACATGCTTCCTAAAATTTAGAGGAGCATTAGATCCTTATCTAAGGCCAACTCCCCAGTTTTCCCACTGCTGTCTCCCTGCACACAGGGTCCCAGGGGGCTCCTACCAGGATGCAGACATCCGGCTGGTCATGGTTGATGATGGAGATCAGGTCAAGCAGGGGGTCATATGTGATGCTATCAGACGTGGTGTATGGCCCACAGGCAACTAGGACCATGGTTTGCTCAAAACCTAAGAAAAGATCGCCAGGTCTTGATTAGAGGACTGACAGCAGGATGGTGAAAGAAGGGGTCACTGGAGGGAAGTGCCACGGAATCCACCATATTGAGACGCCTTTTGCACTTGACCCTGGGAATCCAAGATGAAGAAAAGCTGACCCGGCCCTCCAAGAACAAGCTACCGGGTACCGGGTGGAGGACACAGGCCAGTGAGCAGATAAGTGAGCTGCAGTGGCAGTCAGGAGGCGCTCACTAGGAGGAGACGTTCTCATCCGGGAGCAAGGGCAAGGCAGGGTACAGGAGAGCACTGAGCTTCAAGGGTGGTCAGAGTTAGGGACTATGTGGTCCTCCAGTGTGGCAGGAGACATGGTGCTGAGGAGTCCAGAAAGGCAGGCTGGCCTGAAAGGCCAGGGAAGGAGACTCCCGGATCCCCAGCACATGCTGTTCTCTTTCCTGCTTCTACTGCAGTCTCAGTGGGGCTGGAACTTGGTGCCTGGGCCTCCCCTAAGCAAAGGCTGGCACAGGTCCAGCTCTGGGTTCTCAGACTCACTCCTGGGCAGAGACAAGGCGGAGCTGACCTGGGCCAGCTGAGGTGCCCGGATGACACAGCTGCGGAATCCCTGCCACTTGGACACGAGAGCTGTGAGGCCTGTGTCCTGGTCCTGAGTCTACGTTTCTTTTTTTTCTTTTTTTTGGTCTTTTTCGAGACAGGGTCTCACTCTGTGGTTCAGGCTGGCCTTGAGCTCACCTTGTAGCCCAGGCTGGCCTTGAACTCGCAATGATCCTCCTGCCTCGGCCTCCCAAGTGCTGGGATTATAGGTGTGCGCCACCACGCCTGGCTACGGAGCCTAGGTTTCTAATCCTAGTCCAGTCTGGATACCTTGATTGCCCTGAACAAATTCTCTTTTTTAAAAATTTAGTCTGAGCCAATTTCTGTGTGGTTTATAAAAACAACAAAATGCAAAGATCTCTGACTTCTTAACATGCAGTTGCTTTAGCTCCCTATCACTGCTCTAACAAATTATCCCAAACTTTTTGGCTCAACACAAATTTATTATCTTACAGTTCTGGGGACAGAAACCCTAAAATTGAGGTCTCGGCAGGGCTACGTCCCTTCTGCAGGGTCTAGGGGGCAGTCGGAGTCTTCACCCTTCCAGTTTCTGGAGGCTGCCTGTGTTGCTGGGCCCATCTTCCAATCTTCAAAGCCACAGCCTGACACTGCTACTCTCTCAGATTCCGGTCTCCCTCCCCGCCATCCTTTTTTATAAGGAGCCATGTGATTACACTCATTCCACCTGCATAATCCAGGATAATCTCCCCAGCTCAAGATCTTTAATTTGCTCATACAAGCCAAGTTCCCTTTACCACATAAAGTAACATATCCATGGGTTCCAGGGCCTGGGGGGTGGGCACTATTCAGTCTACCACAGTAGTAACACCATGAACCAGGACAGAGTTCAAGGGGAAGGGACCTTTCATGTGGTGCTAGGGCAGGGCATAAAGCTGTGTTTGGTTCTGAGAGGCCTACAGGAGATGTAAGCCCCAGAGGATGCAAAAGTGCTGGGAAGGTGAGGTCACCCTCTTATTCTATATTTCCACACCTTTCAGAAGCTTCTAGAAGGCTGGGTGTGGTGGTGCACGCCTGTAATCTTAGTGCTTGGGAGGATGAGGCAGGAGGATCATTGCAAGTTCAAGGCCAGCCTGGGCTACAAAGCGAACTCAAGGTCAGCTTGAACTGCATAGGAAGACCCTGTCTCAAAAAGACAAAAAATAAATAAACAAACAAAAAAAACCAGAAGCTTCTAGAAGCTTCCCTGGCACACAGCTCAGGCTCCTGGCACCTCAGCCATGTTAATTCCATTATTTGAAGCTGATCTAGTGTCACCATGTGACCTTTGTCCCCATACAACTATTTTCTGATATACGGTACAATGTCATGAACTCCTAACTTTCATTCCTGATTCTAGGTCAGCTCATGAAAGACCTCACACACTGTCAGTGTGTTCAGGGTGTCGGCAGTATGCCAACCTCGGCATCTCCGGCTAAAGTATTCCGCTGTGCCTGAGGGTATTTTGAAGCAAGGTTTGTCAAAATTTCTTTTTTCCTTTACCTACATCAGTTTCAAATAACACTATACTTTCCTTTTTAGACATTCTTTTTTAGACAAGCTTTTTATCTTGGAATAACTTTAGAATTGTAAAAAGTTGCAAAGATAGCACAGAATTCCTGTATATCTTCCATCCAGTATCCACTAACATTAACACCATGTGTAACTATGGTACGTTTTTTGGAATTAACGCAAGTCTGTAACTGTTCATAAACTCCTGGCTTTATTCAGACGTCATGAGTTTTTTTCTATGAGTACCCTTTTCTAGGATCCAATCTAGAATGCTAATAAGCTTTTTTTTGGAACCGGGAGTCGAATTAAGCTCTTTTTAAAGCATCCATCATCCAGGTGTGGTGGTTCATGCCTGCAATCCCAGCACAGAGGAGGCTGAAGCAGGAGGATTGCCTTGAGTTTGAGGCCAGCCTGGACTACATAGTGAATTCAAGGCTAGCCTGAACTAGAGTGAGACTGTGTCTCAAAGAAAAAAAAGTACATTTTTCTCTTTCAAAATAACTTTCAGCTGGGGATATAGCTCAGTGGTGTAAGCACCAGCCTGGCAAGTGCAAGGTCCTGAGTTCAATTCCCAGTACCAAAATAACTTTCAAACACCTATTGAATAGAAGTCTTTTTTTTTTTTTTGAGACAGAGTCTCACTATGCAGTTCAGGCTGGCCTTGAGCTCACATTGTAGCCTAAGCTGGTCTCAAACTCCCTACAATCCTCCTGCCTCAGCCTCCCGATTGCTGGGATTACAGGCGTGTGCCACCATGCCCAGTTAAATAGAAGTCTTTGAAGGTGAGAACACTTCTACTTCTTACAAGGCTTGGACCCAGTGGCTTGTTTTTGTCTTGTTGAGACAGGGTATCACTATATAATTTAGCCTGGCCTTGAACTCACTTTGTAGCCCAGGTTGGCCATGAACTCAAAGTGATCCTCCTGCCTCAGCCTCCCAAGTGCTGGGATTATAGGTATGCACCACACCCCCAGCTGCCAGTGGCTTTTTGACAAAAGGACAGTGAGGTCACCAATCAGCTATGTCCATCCTTCTTGGCTAAGTCACTCTCAAGCAGCTTCTGCAGCTTTCTTGGGCCTATGGATCTGTATTCCTAAAACCCTGTCCACCACCCTTTGCTGTTGGTAAAATAATTTTTGAGCAAAAACTTACCTCCGTCCTCTTCAGTGGGCTGATAAAAGGGAAGCGGCACACCCTTAAAACAGAAGAAAAAGAAGAAAAGCTCAGTTAAGGCCACACACCAACCACTGCCCAGTGCTAAGGAAAGGCGAGCGCCAGTGGGGGCCTCAGCAATGCACTGTGCGGGAGACTGGAGGAGGGGAGCAATGGGAGGGCGGGACTTTTCCTCACACTGTGGAACTAATGCCCCAGAGTGAAAAGGACTTGCAGTGTTCAGGGTGTCAGAGCACAGGACCGCACTGACAAATTCTCTCCAAACACCCAGAACAATCGAGAGCAAAGATAGTGCCTGAAACGTCAGCACGCTGCCAGGCAACCACGGGAGAGAAGGGTTCCTGCTACTTTTCCTACGACAATCCCCAGAGGTCTGCTGCCTAGAGCACGGACAGGTCAGCTATGGCCTGAGGGCCAAGCCTACCCGGAGCCTGTTTCAGATAGGAACTTTTATTGGAACTCGGTGGACTTATTTGTTTACAAACTGTCTGTGGCTGCTTTTCACTCCAGTGGCAATTTCATCACTGAGAGAACTACAAAGCCTAAAATATTACCTGGGCTTTGTAGAAATAGTTAATGTAGAGCCCGGAGGTTGGTTCCCACTCTACAGATATGGAATTGACTGACTCCACAGTCATTCTATAGAGAGAGAACTGACTGACAAATAGGCATGTAGCTGCTTGTGGGGCTGCGCTCCTATAATCCCAGCTATTTTGGAGGCTGATGCAGGAGGATTGCAAATTTAAGGTCTGCCTGGGCAACTTGGTGAGACTTTGACCCAAAATAAAAAATAAAAAGGGCTGCAGATATGGTTCAGTGGTAGAGTGCTTGCCTAGCATGTGTGAGGCCCTGAATTTTCAGTAATGCACAAAAAAAAAAAAAAAAAAGAAAGACAGAAACAAAACCCCAAAACAAAACATAGAACAAAACAAACAAAAACCCAAAGCCAAAAACAAGACAAAACACCCCAAAACACACAGCCTTATAAAGGACCGTTTTTTAGGTGAAAGGCCTGCACATACTGTGCCTGCAGCCAAACAGGAGGGGCGGAGGGGCCACTCTGTACCTCATAGAGTTTGGTGGCAACAAGTTTTCTACCAGTGGTGTTGATCCCTTCCACGACTACAACCTGAAAGACAGAGACAAAACAGGTCGGCTAACCAAGGGAGCTACGCGAGAAGTCCGGAAGAAATTATTTTGATTAAGTATTTTGTAACTCTCAACTTAGGGCGTCTTTGTGGAAAACAAATTAAAGGGGGCTGCATTAGCAGTGACAATTATACTCTCCACAAATGATCTAATTCTCACAGCAATCCCATGAGGTAAGAATCCTCATCCTCATTTTCTCGGTGAAACGCCTTGCCACAGCCACACACTTCGTGGGGAGCAGCTGGGATCTGGACCTGGAGAGTCAGATCCCACAGCTGCCCTCAGCGCACATAGGGCAGAGTGGAGGGGGACGCGGCAAACCTGCATCTCACAGCGTCCGAGAAGGGAACCGAGATGCAGCTACCCCCAGCACCCCACAACCGCACATTGCTCCTCACTGTGGCCTCTTCTGACCTCACCTGTCCAGGAAACAGAGAATACTCTCTGAGCTCAGACAGATCCACCGGAACCTGAGCCCCAGACGAATGTTCCCGGTCTCCCTCAATAATCACGGACTTGCTGTTCAGCTTCCCATTGCTGTCACAGCCAATTTGGCCCAGCAGGGCGACAGGCTCCTGCCAAAGGGAGGGTGCCACGTTAGAATGACAGTCTTTGGGGCAGGAGTGCAACATCTGAAGTCAACAGGAGGCACAAAAACCCCTCCTCCCGCACACGTGGTTTTTTTGCAGGACGTCACTTTGGCCCTGAAGTGACCACAGCACTGCTACCGATGCCAGAGGGAGAAGAACTGTGCATCACGTGAGCCCCGAGTGTGCAGCGACCCCCTCAACCCACAAAGCTGTGCACAGCTTTGGCTTCACAACAGCTCACATCTACTGAGCCTACTAAATACCAGGCACTGTTCTAATAGCTGAAATGCATTCATTTGCTTAATCACCATACCCACAGGGTGGGTACGGCGGAACCCATTTTACAGATGTAGGAATGAGCGGCAGAGAGGCGAGATAATTTAGTCAAGTTCAAACAGTGGGTAAAGCCTAGCTCTGAAGCCCAAAAGTTTGATTGCAGAGTCACATTTTTAGCCACACACCACATTGCCCTGTAAGAGGAAGTTCTTCGGGCCAGGGATGCAGCTCAGTGGCACAGCGCCTGCCTGGCAAGCACAAGGTTATGAGTTCGATTCCGGGTCCCCCCAAAAAGAGGAAGTTTTTCATCGGCTGAGCTGAAAGTCTCTTTTTCAGTAGCTCCCTCTCTCCTGATCCCACTCTTGGGACAGACAGAGGGAGTCTAACCTTCTCCACAGGACTATACCTCCCTGCCCATCTCCAGGACTCCTCCCAATCTTTCCAAAACTTCCTCAGATGACAGTTTTGCTTTCTTCTTCCCTAAGCCATCATTCTTATCTGGATGCAAACCTATGACAAAAGTATATCTCCCCTTCAATTAAAGAAAGGATCCTAGAGTCGCTGGCCCATATGCAGATGTAAAAATACTACTGGTCACCATGGGTCCTCAGTGACAGAGATCAATAGGTCACAAGACCCTGGAAACCCCTTGCCTGCTGCTGTCCTTGTCCTGGATGCCTTCTATCTGAAGGGACTCTCTGGGGCTTCTGGCCCCGCCACAAGGGCGTGAGACCTCCAGTGTCAGCTTTTATGCAACACCTTAATCCAAGCGGAAGAAAGTAACTCTCTGCTCACAAAACCAGGGAGTGCTGGGCATGGTGGCTGTGATCGCAGCACTTGGAAGGCTGAGGCAGGAGGATCACTGCAAGTCTGAGCCAGCCTAGGCTACATAGTGAGTTCAAGGACAGCCTGAACTAGGTAGTGAGATCTTGTCTCAAACAACAACAAAAACCAAACTGGGAGTGTTTCTAAGTCTTTCCTCAGAAGGACCTATTTTACCACGTTGAACCAAGCCAGATGTTCTAACTAGGAAACAGCAGTGAAAGGGAAAAGGATGTCTCTTCACCATTGATTTACAAATGTAAAATCAATTCACAAAAGTTCTTGAATGACTCTTACTTGTGCTGGGACCAGAAGAGGAGTAAAAGCCTCAATCTTGTAATGTTCCTTGAGTTCGCTGCCCAGCTCTTCTATTTTCCAGGTCAGAACTGCAATCCCAGAGGTGAAAAAGTGTTGTGTTAAAGACAAGGCACTTGCAAGAAGAGGGCACAGCGTGTTGTAAAGTATGACAGTCGGTCATGTTACAGGTGAGCTGTGCCGGGGAGCCCTTCCAAAGCCCTAGCTGTTTTCCCAATATCTGGGGGCTAACTTGGGCTTCCACTTGGCCACAGGCGATCACACTGCACAACCTGGGACGTCTGCCTGGTCCCCGTCCCCACCCTGTGCTTTTCCTTTGCTCAGGTCACAGCAAGTGTTTTGGGGAAGTCAAAGCCGAACTGGAGAGGGCTGAAGGAAGAAGCTATGAAATGTCCTTCACGTGAGGTTGAATTCCCTCACATAGTTCAAGTTTTCATCCCTGGGAATCATCACACGCTTTTTCTTCAGCAAAGTGATGGAACTTGGACAATATCGCTCACTGCCCCTCACTAACAGAGGATGCATGAGGACGCCGAACAACCCATGATCTACATAGTCCAAGGCAGCCTTAGAACTGGCTGCTTCCTCTAACCCTTCTACGTGATTTTACATCCAATAGAATTTCAGAGGGAACCACAATCACCTTCTCGGATGTCTGTGAGTTTCTGAAACATGGATTTGTAGCTCCTGGTCAGGGGCTCTGGACACCCCACCACCTTCAGGCTGACGCGTCCAGCCCCTCCTCTCCCAGACCACGTCACCCCCTGTGCTGAGCCAAAGGTGGTGACCACCTCTCCGCGGTTATTTCTTGAGTTGTATTTCTGGGAGGGAGTGGCGCTAGTTAGAAGCAAAACAGTTTAATGTGATGGTGTTCATAGCTAAAAAGGGAGACAGGAACAAAATAAAGTTAGCATTTGCAAAGAAGGAGCAGGGAAGCAATATGGCTTTATGAATCCGATCAGCCAAATAGGGTTGGACAGGCTGGGACCTTGCAGGAATTTCAGGAATGAGGGGCTGAGGAATACCAGGCCAAGAAGGAATACCGAACATGTTTAGAGTCTAAAGACAGAACCATGTTTAAAAAGGTTGTCATTTACCCAGCAATACAACTAAACAAAGCCACACAGAACCTAAACTCTGACTGGACTGAAAAGCAAGCTTCAAAAATAATTTTCCTTTCTTCTTATGAACTGTCAACATGAGGGCACCGTCTGAGCCTAGAATTGTGGATATATCAAAAGTGTCTAAGCAGCTATAAAATTCACAAAATAGGTCAAGCTAGAAACAAGAAAATGAAGTTAAAATTAATCAGCTCTCCCCAGGGTCTGTGGAGGTGGGGACGGAATGAATTCACAGCCAGCCAGTGACCAAACATTCCTGTGCGCCAGGGCTCCGCTGACAAGGCCTCGGATTTCCATTCCCTGGCTGGTGAATTACGCCTCCAAGAGCACACGGATGCCGCTGATCTCTTTGGCCACCTCTAATCCTTCACTGGTGAACATCGCGGAGAGAGGCCTACTTACAACAGGCTTCCTTTAATGTGTGAAACTCTGCAGAACCAGTTCCGTGCAAGGCATCGCTTCGACTGACGCCATTCCCTCCTTTTTTCCAGACAGAGGCTCCAGAAAGTGAGCTCAACTAATTAGCTCTATCTCCAGTGCTGCCTCTACTGAATAATTTACAAGTTACTTTCATAAATTACAAAACCAGTTTCTGATGTCAGCTTTATTAGTGTATATTAAAAAATGATGAGACTGCATAGCGCAGACTTCTCTGAGCTCCTCCCTGTGTAGCTCCGAGGGACGCCGGGCCCTTTAATGCAACTGGACGCTCAGGGGCCAGGTGTAAACAGATCTGCAGGTTGCAAAGGATTCTGTGTTCGGAGGGCGTCACCCCTATAATGGTGCCGGTGCACTTCTGAGATCCACTGCTATGCACTGGCTTTCAAAAATGCCCTTAGTTGTTGGGTGTAGTGATGTCCGCCTGTAATCCCAGCACTCCAGAGGCCAAGGCAGGTGGATTGCCAAGAGTTCGATCGAGGCCAGCCTGGGCTATACAGTGAGTTCAACGCCAACCTGAACTACTCAGGTAGACTGTCTCAAAAACCAAAAACAAAACAAAGTCCACTGACCACCCATCTTGAATGAATATAGAGCTTCTGTCACTGCCTAAGGTGATAGAGCTGAAAAATTGTAACTTCCCGTTGAGATAGTCTAGAAATGACTCTTAGCAGCTAGTTTGTTAAACAGTTAACATCACTGGTACAGACACAACAGAACCTGTAAACACTTTTACCTGGCAAAACACCAATATGGGATTCTCTAACGTAAGACGTATCATTTACGGATTTAAAGAAAAATCACGTATGGTCTTTGTGGGTTTACATTCAGTAGTGAGCAGGAATAAGATATCAATTAACCCAGTGTAGATTCACAGTGACAAGAAAACACTCAGAAACTAGTTGTAACTGGAGTGAGGAACAAGAAACAGGTTATACAACATTATGAACAAAGGTGTATACTTTTCTTTTCTTAAAAAAAATAAATAACTTCAGATTTTCAAAAGCAGAAAGAAACCCAACAATACCCGTACTAACAGAAGCAGGTGAAAGCCTATTTGCCTGTACTGGCAAGACTCACGATTCCCAGGCTTCTGAATAGACAGCTTGTTTTGAATAAAAGATATCATTTCCTGATATAGGAAATCAAGCCTAGAAAAAGTGGGTGGAAAGTGAGTTTCCTTAATTACTGTAAGAAACAGTAATTTTCCACAAAGGAAGAGAAAGCTGGGGAGCTAGAAGGTAAAAGGCTTTCTGGCCAGTTCAGGGCGGAATCCACCTCCTCCTGGTTAATGAGTTACTCTGCAGTCAGGTGGCAGGAAAGGAGGGGAGAGCGTGTTCTGGCCCCAGAGTCGAGCACCATCCCTACCTCGGAGAGAAACTGGAGGGCGAGAGGAGCTGATGCGGGCTGCGAGCAGACACACTCCTTTTCGTTACGGGAGTCTCTGGGGTGGTGATAGCCCGCTTCTGAGAACCCTAGGAACAAAGCGGAAGACAAAACCCCGGTCACTTTGGCCCCAGTTGCTAAGGAAGTGTGCGGTTCCTCAGGAGGAAAACGGCGAGCGGCACCTAAATGAAGGGCACAGGACAGGACTGAGTTGGTTCTCCTAAGGCCCCATCTTCCCAGAACAACCTCGGAAAGAAATCTGCAACCACTACAACCCACTATCATCAACTCACTGTCCTGATTTGAAGGCAATTATGAAAAAAGCAACCATTCTCCAAAAAGCCTCGCCAGGCAGGCTGACTCCTGACAAGTCTCTCAGGTCCTCTCTCACATTCTGCCCTTCTTCCCTTTATTTTATTTATTTATTTTTACTTTCTGAGACACGGTCTCACTATGCAGTTCACGCTGGCCTTGAACTCACTTTGTAGCCCAGGCTGGCCTCAAACTTGAAATGATCCTCCTGCCTCAGCCTCCTGAGTGCTGGGATAACAAGCGTGAGCCACCATGCTCAGCCTCCTCTCCTCTTTAGAACAGACCTGGGTTTTGCAAGGTGTGTGGCTCTGACCTTTGTGCACATTTTCCCCGAGAAGGGATGGGACTATATTACACTGCTTTTGGCCAAGTCTACCACACATTTTCCAAATTAAAGGCGGGAATGACTCCAGGCAGATAACACAGTTGAGCTCATACTTGGAGAATACTTAGTGAACACCTCACTGCTATTCACTTCTGGAGTTTTTGGCTCAGCAACAAGAATCGCAAGATAAGCCCAGCACGGAGGATGAAACACTGAGACTCGGGCCTCCCGCAAGTCTAGGGGTAACTGAGTATAACACAAGAAACACAAAAATCCTTGCCCCTTACACAACCCGGAGGCCTCCTAGTTTGCTGAATCCTTTTCTACCCGAGGGCTCCTCCTGGTGGCAAATTTATGCCATGCCACAAGGTGGGGAGCAGCAGAGGCTTGGAGATTGAAAACCAGGGTGCAGAAGCTGCGATAGAAACTATATTTTTAAACTGGGCATGGTGGCGCACGCCTGTAATCCCAGCACGTGGGAGGCTGAGGCAGGAGGATCATTGAGACCCTGTTTCAGAAAGTTCAAAAAGAAAAAGAAGATACAAATTGTAGTAGCTATAATATAGTTAAAATGTAAATCTTCAGTACAGTGGCACCTTGGTTCACAAATTTAATTTTTAATTCTTTCCACAACTCTGGTCTCAAACCGAATCCAATTTCAATATAAGGTCAACATTGAACCTAACCATTGAGTTTGATTTGGTTTTTGTCCAATTCAGTTTGTGACCAGAATCATGGTAAGAGGAAGTGAGAGGCTGCCGATCCTGGAAGTGGGGCTGGTGGGACTGCCCTGAGTTAGGTTTTGCGGCGGAGAAAAGGAAGATTTAAGGCGCTCTCCCAAGCTGGTGGCCTGAGCAGATGGAAGCATGAAGAGGTCCCGCACTGGGATGTGGACTCTGCAAAGACCACCTTTAGGGGACATCAAGAGTTGAGTTATAGTCTCTCCAATCTTTTTTTTTTTTTTTTT